ATCGATACTTTTTTGTTTAGTTTTGTAGCCGTTTTCGTAATAATATAATTTCGTACCTTCTTCAATGTTCGGTAAACTGTTGTACGAATGAAAACTCAAAGCTCAGCTGAATCGGAATCCAATCAAATGTGTGGATTGAAATCGATATAAAGTGTCGAAGAACAACTCGTTAGAGTTAATATCATAAACATGACTGATACATTTCCCACATGTACACACCTTAAATAATGATCACAAACAACAATATTTTGAATAATTTATTTCTACAATAATAACATTCTCTTTGTGAGCTAACAGGACCATAAATACATTGCTTTTTGTGATGATGATGCAGCATGAGGTGGCACCTCATGTCGATAATGGATGGAAAATGGTAAACGAATCTGCAAAGCGAATCGATTTTGATAGTCATTTGGTAATGTATGCCAAACATCTAATAATCCTCAGTGTTCAGCATTCTTAATCAAATAGTCAATCGATAGAGTTTTCAATTCAGCATCGGTTAAATCCCGCAAGGATTTATTTCTAAGCATGTTTGCATGCATTATGAAGTAGAAACTGTAGACACAGATGTTTGCACTTACTTTGGTCAAAATTTTCATATCGATCTTTGTCATATGTAATCGTTATCATACCCCTTTCGAAATATCGTCCTAATTCCATTGTAGACTTGAGATTTTCGAAACTATCAAAACATTGTACAGCATTGCCGTTTTCAATGTAAGCCATCCGAAGACCACAAGTTGGCAACGTGTCACGCATAAAGACTTAACGAAAATGTGATATTTTCAATTGATGGGCACATTTTTGAATTTTCGAGTCACATAATGCTCTATGGGGCAGCTTCAGTAGTATTTTTTGCTTTTTCAAATCAAGACCTCGTCCTTTCCGTTTATGTTCAGAAACAGACCAAATTCTCTAGGTGTTTTGCATAGGTACAAACCGGAACCCAAATGTTCCTTAGTTTTATTATGACATTGATTCTCTTCGAGTTTCTTTTTGGTATTTTTTGCATCTATAACGATTTTTGCGATGGCGCTCGCTCCCCCTGCCAACGAATCCAAAGCTGAAAGGCCTGCAAATATGGGTATGAGTGGAAGGATTCCTCCAGATTTTGCTTCAAATGGAATAATTTTCGGTACACGTATCTTCTTACGTCCTCCTGCTTTATGGACGGTCATGGAAATTTCAACGCAGCATTTTGCTTTGATTGATTTAACACTTCTCATTACTAATGTGCGTTTGGACTTCATCACTCCGGTGACGAATAGAGCGCTCGCCTTTCCACCAAATGTTGCGTCTTTAGATTTCACTCGTTACCACGCCTTTTCTTCGAGAGCTTTATGAGCTCGACGTCTAGCATCAAGAGACGCATCTTGTAAATATGCCCAGTCGTGCTGTTTACAAGTAGAATATAATGGATTAATACCAGGATCACCTCGTGCAAGATGTTCTTGTAGTTTCGTACCAAGACCGCAATACTGACAGCCAGGTAAGTGTAATTCGAATGGTAGATTATTGATTGACGTATTGACGATACCTCCTCCGTAATAAGTCAAAATTAGGAATGATGAATGACGTCAATCTCCCAAACACCGATCAGAACATGAGGATCGTTCCGCTAGACAATACATTACCCATAGACAACTTGGGATGATGATGTCAAGTATCGAAATAAACACAGCAAGTTGTTGCCCAATTCCTTTCGCGCCGTTATAGGTGGTCCATCAGAGTGTGGAAACACCAACAAAACATTATCAATTTTATTTCATCGGAATGGAGCCAAATTTGAAAAAGTCTACGTGTACTCAAAGGTATCAGCTACTTCGAGAGATATTGGAAAAAACCCAAGGAGTCGGTTATTCTCCATTTTATAACAACGAAGAGGCGGCTAAGCAAAATTCCATATTCGTATTCAATCATGTAGCCTGCGATGCTCAGCAGAAAATTCGTGATTATTCCATGTGCCAACATACGGACATTGATGTCATCTATCTGTGTCAGACGTATTTCAAGATACCCAAACAATTGATGAGCGACAATTGCAACATGCTTGTATTGCTCAAGCAAGACGAAATTCAATTGAATCATTGTTTTCGATGAAAATGTCTTTCCTGACATGTCTTTCGATGAATTCAAGTGAATATGTGCCAAATGTTGGCGCGACAAGTATGGAACTTGCATCATTGTCAAGAAATGTCAGAGCGATATCGAAAAGGCTTCGACAAGTATATAAGTGTGTGTGAATAGAGATGGAAACGTTATTTGTCAATATGAAATTGCTCGGTAAAGAATTGCGAACGAATTTTAAAAAGCATAAGAAATTAGTATGTAGCTCAGAAATTGGGAAAGTCTGAAGAGGATGAGTTGTTGTAAAAGTTTTTTCAACCTATTTCGAGACCATTTCAGGACATAGCTGAAATCTCTAAATAAAAACGGTGAGCCAGTTGAGACGTGGTGGTGTCAAGAAGAAGGATAAGAAAGACGAAATGAAGATAGAACCTTTGATCAATAGAAAATATTTCAGAGGAGAGTATGATGGAGTACCTGGAGTAATATCCACGAATATCATATAAATATGTAATGAAACACTGGGCTAATGACAATTCAATCGATAAAATAAACGGACCAGTTTATGGCGAGTCTTCGTCATAATGGATCCTCGGTAAAAAGTATCAATACACTTTTTACCAAAAGTCAAGTTTTTTCAAAGTCAATACTTTGACAAACGGAAGTATTACAACTGAAGGACTCCGGGACTTTATAATTTACTCTTTCTCGATGAACCTGAAGACTACTAGAGGATCAAGCCTATTATAAACGTCTTTTAGAGGAAACTGAAGTACACCTGAATGACAGAGGATCCATGAAGGGAACTCAAAAATGGAACCGGGAGTCTTTATTTACTCTTTTTCGATGAACCTGAAGACTACCAGAGGATCAAGCTTATTATAAACGTATAAGCGTATTATAAACACAAGCCTACCTGAATGGCAGACGATCCATGAAGGGAACTCAAAAATGGAAATGGTCTGATATAATTAGACCCATGTTCCTTATTTAAACACTTAGTAAGGGTAACGATAATCTAGTGAGCAATGATGTTGTTGGTTCCAGCATTCTACAGACGAACGCCATCGACACTCATCGTTGGATATATAATGAGAGGCCCTTCGAGTATGTGTACTGGAACGATCCGAACGAGATATGCGACAGATTGAAGATGTTTATAGTTTCGAAAGTTGCTGAAAATTCTTCTTCTCACGACAATGAAATTACAGATATATTCAATGAACTCAGAGAAGCCAACATTATTCAGTAATAAATAATTCAATATGAGATGTATTTTTTATCTGTTGATCAAAAATATGATTCGATAAAGCATTAATTTTTGTCACGAAAAACGCATTGAAATATTCGAAAAATTTCAATGCGTTGAAACGGTCATTTTAGATATTTTAATAGCATCAAAAATAATTCATTTTTAAACACCATTTCTTTCATAAACCCATATGTTTGCATTGCAATCCAAAAAAAAATATCAAAAATATAGCGCGATAAGGCGTTCATTTCTGGCGCAGTAATCGCATGAAAAACTTCGCAAAACTGCAACGCGCTGAAACTGTCATTTAAGCTGCGTAAACTGCATAGAAAAAAATGCATATTACTAGAGTCATGTAGGTATGTGTCACATTATTATCATGACTATCGACAAGTTTGGGCGTAGCTCCAATAGGAAGCTAAAGCATCCTGCAACATCATCAGTGGAGATTTGCTACATACACTCGATGGAAACATTCATCTTGATATTTTAAATTGAGTAATATGAAGAGACCTATGAACGCATCAGATGCAATAAACAGAAAGTATGTGAATGAAGTTGAGAAATACCTCACTACTTTCATAAGAAGAAATAGACTAACTTTTATGGGAAAATGATTGAGTTTACGAAAAAAGTATGCAATGATATGCAAAATCTGAAAACACTCATAAAAAATAAGGTTATTAGGTAAGGTATTGAATTCGATAAAAAATCAAACAGTTAAGGCCGATTTCTCTCAAGCGACTCAAAATGATAAGGAACAGTTTTAAAAGTTGCATGAAAAATTCAAACGTCAATATGAATTCGATATCGAACGAATCGAACGTAAAAACGCCAATGCCAATATTTTGCAATCTATGCAGCAAACTAATATTTTAACCGATGAAATAGAGAGAAACTTTTCTCGAATGTAATTAATGAAATTGTTCTACAGCATTATGCACAGTAGTTATGGCTTTAAAGGACAAAATTCAACTTGTCCGTGAACTGCATAAACCCATTAGAAAACATTTTTCTCGACGCCGTGCCATTATCAAGGGACTGGATGATTGATAGCAGATAGAATTGGCTGATATGAGATCGTACGCTCACCAAAATCGAAATTTTGAACTCATTCTAGTCGTCATAGAATGTTTTTCGAAATTCGTGTGGGCTCGACCGCTGAAATCGAAAACGGAAGAAGATATCACCAAAATATTTTCGGATATTTTGAAATATGAAACGTCCAAAAATCTACAAACCGATCAAGGGACAAAATTTTACAACAAAGAATTTCAAACTTTGATGAAAAAACATGGAATGAATCACTACAATACGTACAGCATCACTAAAGCTTCTACGGCTGAACGTTGGACGTTAGGACGTTGCAATAGCTGGGCCGTGAAAATTCAAAGTCGGCGATGTTGTGCGAATCAGTAAGGCAAAACATGTTTCGACAAGAGTCACACCCAATTGGACTACAGAGTTATTCAAAATCATCGAAGTTAACATTACTAATCCCCCACCTTTATGCCAGAAGATATGCAGGGTGCACTCACTAATCACAAAAACAATTGCAGAAAACTGCAAATCCTGATATATATCTCGTGGAAGGAAGACAAAAAAATGTACGTTAAATTGCTGGATTTGGATAACAAACACAACAGTTGGATAGAAAACGTTGATTTTGTATAGAATCTTATGGAAAACAAGCACACTGACATTGTATTGAAAGAGCCTTTTGTGAAGAAATATTTGTTTTCAACAAACACAAACAATATCTGAAATTGACCACGTGAAAACGAAAATGACTCTCGATAGTGGTTACGGTAGTGAAGCTGAAGGAATGTATGATAGTGCTGTAGGAGATTACAATGAAAATCCAAGTGCAATCGATAGAGCGTTGGGGCAGTACGAAATAGCTGCTCGAAATAAACACCACTTCCTCCAAGCCTTGCACACCCGTGCCGTGAAACTGATATTTCTTTTCGTTGTGCATCGTACTCCACACTTTCCATATCGAAAGGTTTAAATCTCTCGCTACAACTCTGATGCTGGTGGTAGGATCCGCTTCGAAGGCTGCGAGAATTTGCTCCTCAACATTGACATTATGTCTTCCTGGATTTACTGCAGGTTCAGCATGATGAATACCAGATTCAGACAGCCTACGATATGTGTTGGAAAACACACGGACGTTAGACACCCTGCAATAAAATAACTCATTTTTAATGTCTTTTGAAGGTGAAAATGGCAAAATTTTACTACGGCTACAATTAGAAATTAATTTACCTGCGGTTCGGGTAACGTTCTTGGTACAAACGTCGTGCCAGAGATGCGTTACCATCAGCTCTGCCATACATAAAAATGATATGGGCTTGTTCATGACTCGTAAACTCAGCCATGGCAGCACACACAACAAAAAGTTCGATAGTCCAAAATAAACAACACCTGCAGGAGCGAAAGGCTACAACTGAACACGGTGGATTACAAAAATGGGGAACACAAAACCAACGTCTACTCGCAATTCGAAAGGATACAGCAGTGACTAGAGAACTTGTTTGGCCAACCAGACCGACCCGGCGAGGGGTCCAAGATGTTTACTCAACTCAGGTACCTAAAAATTGATAAACTCAAAAGCAAGTTTATGGTCCTAGCATAAGGTCTAAATCATAACAACAGAATGCATTCCAATTAATGACTAGCTTCAGGTCAAATTCTTTGTTGTTAAATGCCACCGGCCTTTGTTCAGTTTTCTCTTCTTTCAAGTTGGGCTAAGTTTCTCATTATTCCATGTAAGTCTAAAAATAATATCGCATATTGCTTTAGGATTTTCGTTTAAAGGTTTTTGAGCTGAATTTCAATTAAATTACTTTTTTTTTTAATTTTTCAAATATCCATATTTACGACCTTTAACTGGTACAGGTACCCTAATTAAAAAAGTTTTTAGCTAGGTAAATGATACCTCAAACGAAAGAGCAATAACTAAGCATGTTTTTGAAGGTGTCTGAACACCTGTATGTATTTCATTTATTTTTTTAATTGGCATCCAAGGTCAGATTTTTTATTTTCTTCCTTTTTTTGTAAAGTTTAAATGCTCTGTACATAACTTTTTTGGACACAACGGTGCTTCAAACTACTTTAGTACGATTGGGGACACATAAGACTACTAAAATAAATTTAAAAAACCGGACATTTCTATTAAGATTCGAAGTTATTAGCATTTAATTGACCAATTTTGGGGTTTTGTACTAAAAATCGTAAAAGTTCCCTTAAAAATAAAAAACGCGCTAGTAAATAAAAATGTTTGTATGAATATGTTCTACATGGGCTAGTGTATCACCCTCTTAAAGGTTTGCACCCAGCTACCAAACACCCTGTATATCACATGTCAAAAATAACAATGGTCCAACAAAAATCATCAATGTGAAAATGAATAAAGTTAATAATCATACTATATACAAAAAAACAAATATCAATATTGGTGAAAAAAATTACTTGATTATTTTGATCAAAAGTAACATCAGTAACTAAACAAAGAACGTTCATCGGATATACCTGAATAACAGTCGAAAAAGTTTCATTTTTCTGTTTTCTCTACGCTTTTGTCTGAAATGGCGAAACCATCCTTCAGTGTACAATTGAATGTATTTTTTTTTAAATGGGTCTTCTGTATACCATACCTGAAAACAAAAGTTTTATGTAATATAAAATGTGTTCTGCATTTTTTAACAAAAATTCAAAACTATAAAACACAAAAAGAATTGATATAAAACTTTGGTCAATTGCAACTGAAAATGAAATTTTTTGCATCGCTGTCCCCGAATGTCTTAATTATGAGTAGTTCAATTGACAAATATAATATATGAAAATGTATTTTGAGTAATGTATTTTGAGAGTATATACTTCGTATATACTATAGTTCGTCACTTAGAATTCCTTTTCTGTATTAGTTTCTTTTCCCTCCAAATATTCACTATAAAATAAATTGTTTTTCTGTTTGATTGTTGTCATGATGATGCTATTCATTACAAGTGAAACGCTAGAAAAATATCAAGTGTAATATACCACCGAATTGTGATTTTATTGCGTTATCAATATTTGTGATAAAAGACAGGTCCGTATTCAAAAATAAAAGTTGATGATGATCGTGTTGAAACGCAACGTTTAGTCAAAGATTCATTGTTCAGTACATTCCGAATAAAATAAAACTTTTTCATTTTTTTATATTTTCTGAAATAACAAACCAAAAACAGTATTTTCAGTTTTCCCTGTATAACTCGAGAAGGGTGAAAGTTCCTAAGAATTTCCTTTGGCCATTGTACTGTTTTCTACAATAGTTACCTTTATTCTCATTCAACCGTCAGTGGATGAACAATGTATGTACGAGCTCAAAATCCCATGTATTTTCTTATGGAGCTAAACTTTTTGCAATTTTTGGTTCGAACAGGAGTGGGGGAAACGTGTGACGTCATCGACGCAGGATGGAATGAGTATCGGAGAGCGTGGATCTCCGTCCCTCGGCCCCCTTAGTACTCCGCCTCACCTATCAGCCCCCTTAGTACTCCACCCTCGGCCCCCTGGGAAAAAAAGTTTATAGTTATGAGAATCGAACCTGAATCGTCCGTGTAGTAGACATTGTCCTCAGCCTCTACGCCAATGTAAGACATTGAAAGTAACTGCGAATGATGGGTATTTATAGCGTAAGTTTTGTCGGGACCGAAATTGTCTCATTTTATATGCTTGACCGCTTTTTTTTTGATTTCCGTAGAATGTTAGGGAAGTTGTAATCGTCATTATCATGTTGAAGATAGGAAAATATACTTAGATTTTGGAAATAATATTTAATGTAAAGATGTGTATGTGTGTGTAAGAGTGAGAGACGCGTGTGACGTAATCGAGGCAAAGTGAGATGGAGATGGTATCGATGTTTCACGCTCCTATTGCAAGCAGGTGTTGTAAAATAAATCATTGTTTATGGAGTAATGTAGCGTTGCTGGTTTGAAAATGAAGGGTTAGGAATACGACTGTGTACGGGATGTCTCAAAATAGATAGATAGATAGATTTATTGAAGTTTTCAAATTGAATATATGAAAACCTAAGTCAGTAAGGTATAAATATATAACTAAAATACAACAAAAGATAACAAAAGATTATCACAGGTTTATACATTCGTGGGAGTACATTTTAGTGTAATTCAATATTGAAAAAAAATAGAGAAAAAAAAAGCTAAATGTCACAGATATAAACGCATTAGTCTAAAATATATAGATATCAAAATATAATGAAAATGAAAATAAACTCTCGCATATATCATGTTTATATTTGTTAGGATTATAAAAATTTTGATGGCTAATACTAATATCTATCCTTCTTCTGTTTTCTGCAATCGTCATGAAGTTGCCATAAAAAATTCTTGCATTGAATAGGGTTCCATGTTACACAACAAATCGAAAACTAGAATTTTGAAAGTATGCCGTCTGCCTTCTTCTCTGATTGTCAGTGGTAAATGATTATATAGTTTGATGGCCCGATAGCGTGGACCTGTTTCTGTATTTCGTAATCTATGTTTAGGAAGAACGAGGTTCGAATTGTTCCTAGTATAGTACTCGTGAATGTTTTCATGAATAATGGATTATTCTTTGTTGTCATAAACGAAAATAATACAAACATAAATATAGATCCCATATAAAATAAGTAATTTATTACTTTCAAAATTTCCGCGATAGGAGTTTATTAAGTTCATGTTAAGCATATTCTTTATTATACGTTTTTGCGTTCCAAGTTAGTGCTTCCACCCCAGAACATAACTCCATATTTGAGGGAAGGATATACAGTCCCATAGTATGCTGTTTTTAGTGCAGCAGTATTCAAGTGACTTCTCAAAATTTCAATTGCATAACATTTGCTATCCAGTTTTTTTGCAAGATGCTCAATATGCACGTCAAAGTGTAATTTGTCATCAATTTGACATAGTATGTCATGTTCACATACTATGGAATAATGATAAAATTATTAACTGTTCTGGAAACTATACAATTAGTTTTGGCTGTATTCAAAAGAAGTTCATTTTGAATGAAATATGTTGAGGATGTAGAAACAACATTCAATACATCACTTTCCAAATTCATATGGCAGTCAAGAGGTATAACAAGATTGGAATCATCAGCATAACTGACAAGTTTGGTACTGGTATTTTTTTAAATTTCCGGAAAATCGTTTATATAAATGATGAACAATAAAGGACCTAGCACACCTTTATGAATATCAGCTATGTCAGAGTAAAAAACTTATGTTTGATGTTTAATGCAAACTTTTTGTTTTCTGTTTCTAAGATACGATATCATGAGATCTAAAGCTTTACCCCTAATACCGTACTATACCATACTCCACCATAATAAATTATACTATACTCTATACTATACTATACTATACTATACTATACCGTATACCATGCTAAATACATCATTAAAAGAAAAAACATGGCGTCGAAGTGTACAGGGTGCGTCAAAATACATCATTTAAGAAAAAACATGTCAGTTTAACAGAAGTCTGGCATTTCAACATGCCAAAAGGGCACTAAGTCTCGTATCTTTGTTAACCAAGTTAGCGTCATCAGGAGAAAGAGGAGACAGAAAAGTGTCGAGGGATTACGCGTTGTGGACTCAACGTGAGGGCAATGGGGGGAGCGAAGTATTCAACAAATGACATTTCAAAACGTTGTTTCGCATAAGTTTCGATCGTTTCGCGTGCGTCTATTCGTTATCGTTTCGTCGTCATTGACGTAGCCGTTTTCGTGTTTGAATAATTGTGCACCATTGGTCAGTTACATTTAATATGAGATTGGAAGAAAAACGATGTTCCGTACGTTGTTGGTAAACAAAAATTAGTAATATAATGGCATTCAGAGAATACAGAAGTAAAGTAGAGGAATTTGGTAGACGTGTCCAACAATTACGTCAAGATATTCATTTATATGAGGAAAAGAAAAATGTTCTGCACCAGTTGAATAATTTAGACATTCAAAACAAAGTGTTCAATCGAACATTATCACATATGAGAAGAATTCAGCCTCAGATATACTCAGATATTCATATTCATATGACGACATATTCTACAGAATATGTTGTCATCAGGTTAATTTAATTCAAAGGTACTTGTGATATACTGTTTGGAACCTTTGGTGTAGTAATGAATATTACTGGAGTTTTTCCCCAACACCAAATCGTTATTTTTACACCTCGACACGTGTTTCGATCACCAAGTGATCATCTTCAAGAGGAAGACAAAATTAATAACTACTCAAAACTAAAGCTACTTATACTGATCAGGTACATCATACAGGTAGGTAATCAGTAATACCACCCATACAAGTGTACCACCCTAAATTAATTTTACAATTGGCCTTTCTATTATTTACAATATGTCCTTATGTATATTTAAATATCACAGCTATATATAGAACAATTTTCAGCTATATAAAATTAGTTTCACAATATTGCCTATCTAAATATATTTACAATGTGTCTTTTTGTAGTAATCAGTAAACCCAAAAATATTATTTCAACAAGCTATATAGTATGCTATTTGGTATTGGTCCGTT